GTAAACGGTAGTGGGGTTTCATTTTTAATTGTTGTAGATGTAGCAGCTACTTTTGCTTAGCCCTTATGTATTACTACCGGAGACTTGCATGTCTACAGAAGAACATTTATAGATACGTTAAAGTTCAGTGACAGGCTGGCATCAGAAGACGTACATTCCCTCCTGGAGCCTGTTTGCTGGTGTGCCACTTGGAGTTAATGAATGAAGTTCTTGTAGGCCTTAGTTTGTTTATAAGCTGAAGTAATGGTGCCTTCTGGAGCTGTAGTGTTTGAGAGGACAGTGTAAAGACATGAGTGTAGAACTGAAGCTCTGGGATTGCTAATGTCGGCAAAGCCCTTCAGGATAGAGGCTTGCCGAGGACTTTAAAAAGACTGTGCACAGTGACAGTCCCAAGAACTGGCAATTGGGACTGAACAAAAGTAAACACTTTCTCACAGCAAAGGAAACAACCACCAGAGTGAAGGGACAGCTTGCAGATGGGAAATAAATAAGAGACTAATATCAAGAACATACAAAGAAATCATAGAGATCATTCAGTCGATAAGTAGGTTAATGAACTGACCTGATAGTTCCCCACAGAAGACCTACGAGAACCACTAAATCTTTGAAAAGGTGTTTATTGTCCTCAAATGACAGGGAAATGAAATTCATCTTTTCATCTTCCATCTCACCCCAGTCATAGTAGCTGTCATCAAGAAAACACATGACAGAAATGCTGGCAAAATGTGGGGCAAGAAGAAACCTTATACTCTGCTAATGGGAGTGTAAAGTGGTGTGGCCAAGTGGAGTTTGGTCAGAGAGCTAAAAATAGTACTACTACATGAAAGCCCAGCATCCTGAAGTCAGCACAGCACAGAAACATTGGCGCACTTGTGTTTACTGCCCCACTATTAAGAATAGCTAAGAAATGGGACCATCCTCGTGTCAATCCCCAGGCGAAATGACAAAGAAAAGATGGTACATATACTTAGGAGACGCTTGCTCAGCTATAAAGGCAGATGAAACATAACATTACAGAAAAAAACAACCGGACTAGAGATTGTTTTAAGCAAAATGAGGGACACTCGGACAAGTACCACATTCTCTCTCCATCTCTTTCCTTCTCTCGCCCTCTCTCATATGTAAGTAAGAAAAGCAGTCAGGAGAGGGAAGGAAGCTATCTCAAGGAAGGGGAATTGAGCAGGCGTTAGGGAGAGGTAGAACATGGAAGCAGAAGTGGGGACTGTATAGGGGAAAATAGGGGACCAGCCAGAGGGAAGCAGAATGAAAGGGAAGAGGTGTGAAGGAGATGAATAAGAACAAAGGGCAGGATATGGCCCACTTGGTAGTGAGGAGGTGGAAGCAGGGGGTCAAAAGTTCAAGGTTATCCTTGCCAACATAGTGAGTTTGAAACCAGCCTATGTGGTACACAAGACTGTCTGCCTCAAGAAACAGAACAAGGCCAGTGAGATAGGTCAGCTGGTAAAGGCCTAGGCTGGCGCCCAGCAGCCATGTGGTGACAAAAGCATGATCTGTGTGTGTACAGGAAAATGCTATAATGAAACCCAGTACTCTGTATGCTAACTTTAAAAGGTAAAACTTATCTCAGTGCCTGGCACAAGGTAAACATACCATAAATATTAGTTTTATATTCTCTTTTAAAACCTGGTCACAGGGCCGGGAACGATGGCTCAGAGGTTAATACTGGCTATTCTTCCAAAGAGCTTGAGTTCAATTTCTAGCAACCACATCTCTAAGGAGATCTGGTACCTTCTTCTGTCATATAGGCACACATGCAGGCAGAATTCTATATAAATAATAAGTCTTAAAAAAGAAAAACCTGGTCATATTAGGACTATACCTTCTTTAGACTTCTCATAAGATGGTTATGCAGAACAGGATGTTACGAAATGAAGAGGAAACACAATGCACACAAGGTGTGGATATTAAATCACACATTGCATATCCACAGACACCCCAGCCTTGTTATATTGGCTCCTGTACCCTCATATGTTACTGACCGGTCCAACAGACCAGTGTGTTCCCCAATATGTTACCCATACTGGACTATGTTAAGTTCTGAATGATTCTTTGGACTAAAACATCTGTATCTGTTTTAATCTGTTTATGAGCTGACAGAAACAACAAGCATGTGGATGGGTATCTTTTAGGAAAAGGTAAAAGTGACCCTAAAGAAAAGTCAACTCAATGGAGACGATTGGTTAGAATAGTATACAGTCTGGCAAAATGTGGCAAAGATAATATTGAATGGTAGGGTTGGGACTCAAAAACAGGGAAAAGAACACAGGAAATGACTGTGGGTTCAGGACTTTCTGCTCTGAAGTCCTGTTTTCATCTCTGTGTCCCTATAACCTAGTCCAGAAGCTCCAGAGAACAGCTGCAATTTGTATTGCACCTGAGCCTCTGTATCTACACTATGCCCACCTCAGATCCAACTCACCCCTCCCTCCTTCCCACCCTTCTTTTTTCCTCCCTTCCTTCTTCCCTCCCTCTTTCCCTTCTTCCCTCCCTCCTTCCCTTCCTCCCTCCCTCCCTCCCTCCCTCCCTTCCTTCCTTCCTTCCTTCCTTCCTTCCTTCCTTCCTTCCTTCCTTCCAAGTAGGTTCCATAACTTTCTAAACAAAGGAATAGGAACTTGTTCTTGTCCCATGGCAGTTAGTTCAGTGGCAACTAGCTTTAATACTTTTTATGTTTGAAAACATACTGTTGTCTCTTTTTGCCCTTTGGCCATTGTAGTAGGCTGGAATTCAAGCTTTTGTTGTGGCCCTTTCAACTGAGTTTAATATTGTTTACTATTAGCTAAGACAGCAGTGCATTGTTTCATTTGTGGCCATTGAATAAGCTTTTTTTTTAACTGTTATATTAGGTCTTATTAGATCTAAACATAAATGCTTTCTTGAGCTATTATTGGAAGCTGCTCTTTATTGTAAGTAGGTGTCTTCACAAATACTGTGTGAAAACGTGTATTAGTAAGTGTAGTTTGTGCATAACTTCTTACTCAATGAGAAGCATAAATTTCATTCCCAATTCATAAAAATCACTCAAGTAGGGTATATTCCTAAGAGTGGAGTTTTATAGCAATAGTGGAGTTTTTGAAGGAAAAAATATAATTACAAAGAATTTATTCAATAAATTAGTAGTTTTATTCTATACTTATGAAGATATGTATGTTTTAAGTAAATCCTTGATGTCACCTATTCCTAAACAAAGGTTTATTCCACAAATACAAGGAACTAGAGTAGCTCATAAGGAGCTGCAGTAATGGCTTCTCAGACAAGAGTGCTTGCTGTAGTTTGGATCCCAGCACCTACATCATAAGCCATCCGCTGTCCCACACATGCCTGTCGCCCTAGCACTGAAAGGGGCAGAAATGGAGGGTCACTGGGACTTTCAGGCTTCCAGCCAAAACCCTGACAGGCTCCAGGTTCAGGGAGAGACCTTGCTTTAACAGAATAAGGTGCCCAGTACCCTCCTCTGGCCTCTGCTGGCACATGCAGACACAAGCACATCATGCACATCCCCCACTACCACACGCACACACTGCATTTATGTACAGACAAAGTGAAAGAAGAGTAAGGATGCTCATTAATTACTCTCCCTGTTTTTCCATCCACATGCAAGTAGTAGACGAAATTTATAGGTGGAAAAGAAAAACAGGAATGAAAGGGTAACTAACTTTTCTGTCACAGATATGCCTATAGCAAATATTCTTTCGTGGTGCTCCTGGGAATTCTAGACCTCTCTGTCCTCCTGTGCTAAACTTACCCAGGTACACTCTAAAGCTCATAGGCCACACATATTCTGTTCTGTATTTTAGATGAATGTTTTCCTTTATTCAGCTGCTGTTAGATGAACATACTTGTATCTTAGCTTTAGATAATGACTACCTCAAAACATAGTATCCTGATTCTCAAACATTTAATAAGTGATTGTGCAAGCATAGTTTATAGTAACCCATTGTATTTGTATGCATCTTGGGGTCTTTGGCAGCAGCTCAGTGGGTGAAATGCCTGCCCATAATCATGAGCTTGGGTTCCCACCACTCAAGTAAAAGCCCCATTTGTGGTTGCACATATGTAATCCCAGTTCTGAGAAGACAGATCTGTGGAGATCATTGGTCAGCATCTCACCAAATAAATGAGCTCCAGACAAAATAAACAAACGAAGGGTGCTGGGTAGTGGTGGAGTCAGACAGAGTGGGCTTCTGGCCTCCACAGGCATGCCTCCTTGATAGGGTCTGTGATCTTGATCTTTGTAATGAGTTGTTGACTTTGGTTCCCTGCGCTGACTCATGACCTCCCTGTGTCCAGCAAGGGAAACTGCCTGGAGCTCTTCTCTGTGTTCCTCTTTACTTTCTGTACTCCCACCTCTACACTGAACACTGACACTGGCCCACTTCCACTGTAGACATAGCTAAGGAGAGGAGACTGTAGAGCACAAAGAGTTCTAAACCTGGAGACTTACCTAGTGTGCCTTATCTGAGACTCGACAGATTTTGTCCCTTGTCCTTACATTCCCCTGAGGTAGTGACTCAGTGGGTCACAGAATCCAAATCCAAGAGATAGGACCACAGAATCCAACCCCATATGCTATGGGAACAGAATGGCAGCATGCTCTTGTGCTGTTACTTAATCAGGGATGTGGATATTAATTCCCTTGGACAGTCACAGCAGCTGTTGACACCTGTGAGTTTTAGAAGTCAAATACTTCATTATTTTTTATTAATTATTAGTGTCCTGCAGGATTAATTGGTTGCTCTCTTAATAAATAGAATGTAGATTTGTCCTATGAAAATTTTGCCTATAGTGCTAGAAAGTGTTTAAAATTTGCAGTAGTTTGGAACTGCCTTTTCTGGCATATAATTCTAAGCAAAATGTATTATTTTTCTAATAATTTAATGATTTTACCATAGAAAGTGTTGTGCGATAATCAAAATAGAAGATATAACCTGTCACAGCCATAGGAGTGTAGGCTCTTGTCAAATGTTCATTTGATCTTACAGGGCAGACTATTCGAGAGAAAAGATTTGTGGAAGCAGCAAACAAAAAAGAAGTGGACTATGAAGCAGGAGACATCCCCACAGAGTGGGAAGGTAAGTGTCCCCTCCAGTGGGGGGTTCGAAAGGCCAACCATTTATGATCTACACCGTTAGGAAGAGCACATAGAGTTACTTCTCCACGGAAACGCTCTCACAGCTTTGTTTCTAGAACATTGCATTTACTTGAACTTTGTAAAAGTTGTGAAGCTCCAGCAAGACTGGGGTTAGGGTGATACAAGTAGGTCAAGCTCCTGCCGTGGAAGAATCAAGGGCTACACTCATGCATGCCCTGCCCTCAGGCTGGAGTTCTCTCTCCAGCATTCACTAACACCTGAACTTGGGAAAGTAACGTATTTTGAGTCTTCATTTTCTCACTCACGTTAGATGCTACTTTAGAGTATGTATCTAACTAACAAGGACCCTCTTAAGTGACTTCCTTTAAAAAGAATGGTAGGTGACTGACCCCTAGTCGAGATAAAAAAAAGCTGCACACATAGCCTTAACTGTGATCTTAGCACTTTGGAGCTGACTCAGGAGAATTTCCTCATGCTCGAGGCCAGCTTGTTCTACACAGTGATTATCAGGCCAGTCTGGCCTATAGGCTGAGACCCTGCCTCCAAACAGCATTTTTCGTATTCAAGATCAGGAGGTAAAAGTGCAGCAGATTGCCTCTCCTTCTTGATGGAACATTCTACCAGATTTGGTAGCTTGCACGTAGTCCTCTCATTCTGGAATTGTAGCTTTGCATTCCTGAAAAGGGCACTCTACCAAGAAGAAAATTGAGTGCAGCTTGCAAAGAGGAGTGTGAGCGACTGAATACTATCTAGACTTGAGGCAGCTCTCCAGTTCCCAGCATAACTTCTTCATGAGTTCTTGGTAGGACCTCATAAACTTCTCAGAATGTCTCCTTTCCTTACCAGTTTCCGGCACAGGGCCTGGCACATAGGAAGGGCTCTTCTGTGTGGTAGCCGTAAGCATTATGCTCCGCTATGGCAGCACCTCAGTAATAACATCCTACCCATTTCTGTTCAGTGACCATGAGGACACTAGGACTATGAGAAAAGAGCTGTATGTGAGGAGATAACAGAGCTTGTTTTTTTCTGAAATGCAGTCTCTTAAGTTGGCAACTTCTAGAAGGAGCAGTTGAGCTTATTTTCCCAGACTGTCTACATGTGCAAATCTCAAGTAGTGCCTGTACCTTCATATGAGCCTATTTTGTCATTTTCCCCAATAGCAGTATGGAATTAAAATGTTTACAGAAATAAATTAAGTTCTAAATAAGCAAATAGGTAATGGCTCATTTTTTTAGTCTGAGACTTTTGGGGAATTGCAATGAAGTTTTAGTATTCTCTATGACCCTGTCCTGATCTAGTAATTTAGCATACTCTCCCCATGGCCACATTCTCTGAAAATAACCATCAGCCAAACACTGAAACACAAACACTTACAGTGGCACACATCACTTAAGTACAAAAACTATGTTCTTTGCGTCCTGAAACTGTTAACTGTATGACAGCACATTTAGGGAAGCAGCAGCTGTGAAGTAGTTGAGGTCAGCCCCATGCACTGACACCTGTCTTCAGTCTGGGGGAATAAAAGTTGCCATTTTTAATTGATAATTTCAAAGCACTTCTGCCTACCAGTTGCCTGCTCTTATACGAGAATTAAATAGTGCGACTTTCATTCATTTATCTAGGAAACTATTGATTTCCTAAAAGCCATACATTCTGGAGTGGAAGAAAGATAAGTTAAATTAAGCACTAAACTACGTAATATGCTAATGACCATAGGAAATGAAACAGACGAGGGACAAATAGAGTACTTCGAAAGGTTTTACACTCTTAATTAGTATTCAGAAGAACCTTTCTGAGAAGATCCTTTTTTTTCCCCCCGTAAAGACTGAAGAAAGATCTGTCCCTACTCAGAGACGACCATTACTAAAGTAAATACAAAGGCCTGAGGCAAACACGAATATCGAGGAAGCCAGGCTGACTGGAGCAAACCTGGAGAAAGCAAGGGGAGATAAGTTTAGTGTCCAGAGAATGCCTGGACAGTGGGCAGTGTATCGGCCTATTGTAAGTGCCTCAGCCTTTACTTCCAGTGAGATTGGAAGCCAGTGAGAAGTGTGAGGGGTAGCCACATGCCGAGTTAGAGTGAAAAGGATCAAGGATCACTCTGGCTGCTCAGTTGGAAGAACTGGGGATGATGGCATCAAAACATGGAACAGAATGTTTTCTAATACCTAAGGCAAAGAATAATTGTGCCTTAGACCAGATTAACAGTAGGAATGGGAGGAGCGCATGGGTTCTGAAACAATATAAACGTAGAACTAATGGCCCATTGGACACAGAGAGCGTGACAAGAGGAGGGGCGGTGCCTACGCCTTCTGGTCTCACCCAGAGAAAATGAAGGAGTGTTAACTGTAGCAGGGAACAACAGACCAGGAGGGAAGTGAAGCCAGCCTAGGAAATGGTAATGTGAGGTGCCCATTTAACATCCAGTTGGTAAACTGTGAATCAGTTCAGTGGAAATGTCTGAGTTGGAAATAAAAATGTAGTTTCCAACAAACAAATTCTGCATTAAGTCTGTAAGGCCAGATGAAATCACAGAAGCAGTTAAGTGTAAGTAAGAAAAGCCCTATGTCCCTCAAGTTTAGAGCTGTGGAGACGAGGAGCAACAAGAAAATCAGGAAAGTTTAAAACTTCACATTCTGAAAGCCAGTCTCAGGAAGAAAGACGAGATCAGTAGGTGTCACCAGAAACCTGAAAATTAACCTTTTGCCTTAAGATCAGACAGCCCCTCCCACCAAAAAAAAAAAAATTTAGTAGCCTGATGGAGCCTGAGAGAAAAGAGAGATTTGAGGGAGATAAGTAGAGGTGGTGTCTTGAGTTTGTAAGGTAAATTAAGTAGTGAGACCTGGAGAGGAAAGCAGGGCAAAGAGAAGGGTTTATGATGGCTGTTTTGGAAACAGGAGAAATGGGAGAATGTTTCAGTACTGATGGGTGATAAGTCATGTTTCTGTGGTAAAATGAGCCAATTCACGACAAGTTAAAGTGTATAAATGCAGGTTTATTGGGAGCAGCTCTCGTAGGGTTCTCTGGTCCCAAAGAAGGGCGCTAGAGAAGTTGCCATACAGAGGGAGACAGAAAAGAGCAGGCACCAACAAGGAGAGAGAGAGGAATGTAGAAAGAAAAGGTCAGGTTGGCCTTGGTTCAAAAGGCGTGTGCACAGGTGCCCTGACTGGCTCAGTGGCCCACAGTCTTTCTCAGTATTGTGTTCCAAGTGCTTTCTTCAAGTGGGGTCCCTAGTAAGGGGAGCAGGGACTCTCTCTGACATGAACTTAGTGGCTGGCTCTCTGATCTACCTCCCCCTAGGGATGCAGCCTTGCCAGGCCACAGAGGAAGACAATTCAGCAGGTCCTGATGAGACCTGACAGGCTAGGATCAGATAGAAAGGGAGGAAGACCTCCCCTATCAGTGGACTAGGGGAGGGTCATAAGGGAAGAAGAGGGAGGGAGGGTGGGGTTGGGAGGAGAAGAAGGAGACGGCCACACCTGGGATACAAATTGAATAAATTATAATAAATGATAATAAAAAAAACCACAAAAGAAAAAAAAAGGCACCTCAGCTACTTGTCCCAGGTCTGAAGTCCAACAATGGGGAAGACCCAATTGCAGAGAAAACACCTATCAGCTGAAAGACCCTAAGAAGGAAGGTGTACAAGCCCTGGGCCATAGGTGGAAGCACCTGGAAATTCTATCAGAAGGGATCCTGGGAACCTGACATGTGTAGACAGATGAAGCAGCGAGAAGCTGTGCAAGCTCCTGGTTCCTCCTAGTGAGTCAGAATGCTTAAAACCTTCCCAAAACTAGCAGCTGCTGCAAGATTTGAATTCAAATAATCTGTCTTCTGAGTCCATGACTTTTTGTTTTCCTGTTGCTGATCCAGGGATTGACCATAGGACCTTGGACATGCTAGGCAAGGGCCGCGGCACTGAGCTACAGCTGAAGCTCTTTTACTCATTACATTGTAATACTTATATTTTATTCTGATATGTAATATTATATCTAACATTCCTCTTTAATAATTCGGCCAGCACCTGCTTTCCCTTCAGGTTTGGGGCAGATGCTGATTCTCTTTGGAATTCTAACCTGACCCTACTCTGAAATAATCCAAGAACCAGATGAAGCATTCCTTTTGTTTTCACTGACTTCCTGCCTTCCATGCAACACTTAACACACCCTAGCAGATCTCCTCTTTTACTTTTCTCCCTCCTTCTCCTGGACTTGAAGGTTCTTTTGGGTAGACTCCCAGCTTGCTCATCACTGCGTTTTCAGTGCCTAGCTCAACACTTCACATATATTAAGATTGCTATTATGCTTATTCTCTTTGTGTTCATATTTTAAGTGTGCATTGCAGACATTATGTAATTCAGACTGTAGCTCAAGTTGTTCATCTCCACTTCAGCACTGTTTATCTCCAGAACAGTCTTCATTATGCCAAACTGAAACTCCCTCCCTTAAAAAGCAACCACTATGGTACGGCTTTTTGTGATGCGTTTGACTATTCTGGATAGATCATATAAGTAGAATCATACTGCCATTGTCCTTTTTACGTTTGGCTTACTTATTTCACTTAGCACAACATGCTCTTGGTTATCTATAGCATAACACATATCAGAATTCTGTTTTTTTCCCAGGGTGAGTTGTGGATTCCATTGTACATAGTCACACAGTTTATTCATTCATTTAAAGGCAGATACTTGAGTTGCTTCTATCTTTTTGTTATTTTGCAAAATGGCGCTATGAACATATATTTACAAACATCTTTAGTTTTAAACTTAACTATAAATAACTAAAATAAATTTAAGTCTAAAAGGACCTCGTGAAAGGCGGAGCTTATCAGAATGATAGAAAAGACAATTCTATGGAACAATTTTACCTACTTGGCATTTAGAAAACACTCTACAGAGCAGTTAAAGAAGGGCATTTTCCCCTCACTTTTGATCACACATTCTTCCTAAAAATGTAGCCAGTACTAGTTTTATGAAGCCCA